GGGCGCTGTGGGGAGTGGAGCACGGCACTGGCTGGGGGGGAGCTCCCAGTGACTCCAGCCCCAGCCCGTCCCAGCAGGGGGCGCTGTGGGAGTGGGGCAGGGCGCTGTCTATGGGGGCTGCTCCCAGCTACTCCGGCCCCACCTCTGCCAGCACTGTGTCTGAACGATGCCCAGTGGTGGAGGGTCTCGTACAGGGCTAGTCTGTGCAGACATTGTGCACAGAGAAGGTCCCTGTGGCAGGTATCCCTGAGCAGCCTGGCTCGTGTGTACCTGTGCCGGGCCCCGCCCCGCCCGCCCCGTGCTGCCCCCAAGCTTTGCCCGTACCTTGGTGAGATACGGCCTGGGCAGGTACTTGCTGTGGTGTATGCGGTGCAGGTGCTGCTCCACGCCCAGCAGCAGGTCCCCGCGCTCGTCCCCAAAGGCCAGGCTCTCCGGGATCGTGTTCAGCTTGAGGTGCCTGAGGAGAGAGGCCACGTGGCGGGGGAGCCCCCCCGCATCGGGCCATGACACTAGCTCAGCCCAGGTCCTTCCTCTGCCGGGAGACCCCGACTGGCCGGGTAAACGGGCTGCTACCGACCCCCGCCGCTCCCCCGGGGGCTGGGTTCGTACCGGGGAACTGCACCACCGCTGCTCGCTAATGCGCAGCAACGCTGCACGGCAGGGGAGGTCTGGACACCCGTATCCCAGTTCAACTGCATCCGAGACCCAAGCTGAGGTGGGGGCTTCCCGGCCCACCCCACAGCACAGTGGGCTGGGGGGGAGGAGGGGAAAGGGGCCCCAGGCTGCAGCTCTCCGCTGGGATCTTCCCTTCAAAGGCAGGGTGGGTTTGTGGCTAATGCCCAGGATGGGAGCTAGGACTCCTGGGTTCTCTCTGTGGCTCTGTCCCTGACTAGCTGCCGGCCCCTGCCCCTGCCCCTTGGCGGCTGCGTCTGGAGCGCCGAGCTCCCAGCTGACGGCGCAGGGACAAGCGGAGTGGGTAAGTCTGCTGGACCCAGCAGCCCCTCTAGCCAGCCCCAAACCTCAGCAGCTGCCCAGTGCAGGGGGTCAGCAGGGCCCAGCACCCCGGCCCATTGGGTGGGGGGAGCCCCCGCCCAGCAGCCCCTGTGCCCCGAGCTGCAACAAGGGTGGGACTCAACCGTGGGGGATCGCAGCTCCCACTGGCTACGAGGGGAGGGGCAGGCAGATAGACTGGGAACAGGTAAATAGCTAAATGCATGGATTTGCTCTGCCTGCCAGGCTGCCCCCTCCCCACAGGGGGGGACCCCCAGGGCTCTGAGACCCTCCCCACAGGATAATTGTGATAATTGTTCCTGCACATGGACTCTAACTGGGAGCTCAGCTGTGAGCAGTGAGTGAAAGTCGATAAAGTCCCTGTGACGTTGTGCAGTCTATATGGTTTTATAAAAATATGCTAATGAGTGAATACAATGTAACTGGAATATGCTTCATGCAAAAGGTCTCTTGTAAGGTATCCTTACAAAGCTTATAATCTACTGAGTGTGATCATCCTATTTGTATAAATGTACCAGTCTTGTATCTGAAACTAGGAATATGAACTATAACTCTGAGGGCCTATTGTAATTATGCAAAGTGTGGGCCATTAATGGTGGTTTGGAATCTTGATGACTCCCATTAACCAGGACAATTGTCTGCAGATGGGTGTGTTTACCTGTGAGTCTTCCTGTATAGGTGTGTGCTGTATAGGTGTGTGGTGACAAGTGGGTAATGAAGTCCTGCAGTGACATGTGAGCATGTCACCTGAACTGGAATCCATCTTTAACCTGGTGTCTTTCCATTGAGAAGGAGGGGGTGGGAACCCAGAGGGACAAAGGGTTCCCGCCTTATGCAAAGGATATATAAAGGAGTGGGAACAGAACACAGGGGGAGGAGCAGGGCCGGCGCAACCCATTAGGTGACCTAGGCGGTCGCCTAGGGCACTGCGATTTGGGGGGCGGCGACCGTGGCGGTTTTTCGGCGGCGGGACCTTCCGCCGCCTCTGTGGTGGAGGCGGCATTTCGGGGCGGGACCAAAGCTGGCAGCGCTCCTGGGGAGGAGCCATCATGAAGAATCCCCTAGCTACCACCTGAGCTGGAACAAGAGCTGTACCAGGGGAAAGAATTGTGCCCAGACCTGGAAGGTGTCCAGTCTGAGAAAAACTTACTGAAGCATCTCTGAGGGTGAGATTATCTGTATTCAGTTTGATTAGACATAGATTTGCGTGTTTTATTTTATTTTGCTTGGTGACTTACTTTGTTCTGTCTGTTACTACTTGGAACCACTTAAATCCTACTGTCTGTATTTAATAAAATCACTTTTTTACTTATTAATTAAATCAGAGTATGTATTAATATCTGGGGGAGCAAACAACTGTGCATATCTCTCTATCAGTGTTATAGAGGGCGAACAATTCATGAGTTTACCCTGCATAAACTTTATACAGGGTAAAACGGATTTATTTGGGATTAGACTCCATTGGGAGGTGGGCATCTGAGTGCTAAAGACAAGCACACTTCTGTGAGCGGTTTTCAGGTAAACCTGCAGCTTTGGGGCAAGTAATTCAGACCCTGGGTCTTTGTTGGAGCAGACGGGAGTGTCTGGCTCAGCAAGACAGGGTGCTGGAGTCCTGAGCTGGCAGGGAAAACAGGAGCAGAGGTAGTCTTGGCATATCAGGTGGCAGCTCCCAGGGGGATGCCACTGTGACAGGTTGGATCACAGAAACCCCCTGGGAGCTGCCACCTGATGTGCCAAGACTACTTCTACCCCTGCCTTCCCTGCCAGCTCGGGGCCCCAGCACCCTGTGCAGCTCCAGTCAGTGACAGGGGCATGTTAACATCTTGGGCCGTGAGACCCACCCAAAGCCCCCCCAGCGACTGCAGCATGGGCAGGATCCGGGGAGAGACCCCGACAGGCCGTGCTGGCTGGCTTGGCAGGAGCGTCTGCCTCTCACCTGAGTAGCTGGTTTTGGGCATTCCAGACCTTCACCGACCCATCCCTGCTGGCCGACGCAAAGAGCTTCAGCGTGGGACAGCAGCACAGGCCTATGGGGCAGGGAAGAGCTGCCATTAAACAGGGAGCCCCACCCCCCAGCCTGGGGCTGGCCCCCCATGCAGCATGCCCCGGGGGGAGTAGGAGCGCCATGAACTGGCTACGCCCCATGGGGCAACCAACAACCCCATGTCCCCCCCAGGCAGGGCACTGCCCACAGGACACAGCGTGACACTGCCAGACCAGGTGCCAACTCCTGCCAAGGTCCCCTTGTCTTAAGGGAACCCCGACAAATACGTGGCTGGAACCGGCCTGGCCCCCCGAGTGTGAGCATCATTCAGACGGGGGTCAGGATCATCAGAATGTGGGTCACGTTTAGACTGTATGGAACGGTGGTGAGTTGCCGCCGGCATCAATCTCACGTATCACGTCTGTATCCCCTAGTGCAAGGGAACGTCTGAGCGGTTGGATTGGGAGCTTCTGTGAGCGTGTAACTCACCAGGCAGGAGAGAGACATTAACCAGTGTGAAGTGCTGGCTCCAGCGGGAGGTGTCACGTCCTGCCCCACAGGAAAGGCCCATCGACACCGGACAGACCATTGTGGGATGATAAAGAGGACACAACATGTTTGTTGTTCTGCCCTCCCGCCCCTGGCCCTGAAGATGAGTCATGCAAGTGGTTTCCTCCTGTCAGCTGAGTTCACAGCTTAGAGCACATGGGGGGAGGGGAATAAAAACCCCTGACAGGGTGGGACTGATTATCTCTATACTGCTCAGAATCTGGGGCAGGTTTCTAGGCATAAGCAAGAGATCCCCAGTGCTCAGCCCGGGCTAGCCCTTAGGACATATAGTATAGTTTAGTATAGAAGCTTTTATTGAGATTGTAACTCATCTCCTTTAACCTTGTCAATAACGCTTGTTTCCTTTTCCCAGGTAATAAAGCTTTCGACAGCTTGTTATGGGGCTGGCTACAAGCGTGGGCTTTGGTGAGAGAGCTAAAGCGCAGGGGCCCTGGGGGGAGGACGGGTCCTTTGGGACAGGGAGTAATCTGACTATTGCTGTATCCTTGGGGGAAGGGCCCAGCTATCTCACAGGTGGCAGGACAGATGGGGGGGCCCACGGGGCCTGTCTGTGACTCCCGGGTTAGGCTGTTGTAGGGGCTGAGGAGCTCACACCTGGTAACTGGTTGGTGAAATCGAACACAGAACTCACAGCCAATGTGGGGCTGGTGCCGGGGCCCGGCACTCTGCCCTGCGGCTGGTACTGACGCCCTGGAGTCACAGCAGGCAGCTTGACACACTGCTTCCCCGCTGGGCATGGCCCCCCTTCCTGGGGCCAGACGCTCCCTGGGAGGCCTTTTCCCCCCACCCCATCTGGGGCAGAGTAGTCCTCCTCAGGCACCGCTATCCCTCTGCTGGGGCTGGACACCCCCATGGGACTCCATTCCCTGCCCCACACCCCAGGGTTGGACACTCCCCGGGCGGCACCGCTACCCCGCTGGATGCCCAGACCCACCTCTGATCCCAGGCTCCTGCTCTGGGTGCCGACGCAGGCCCTGAGGGGAGGAGCAGAAGCCGCCGGGCAGCAGGGCTCTTACCCGTGATCTCGTCCAGCGGGTCGTCCTCGGGGCCGTGCTCCTGGCGGCTCTGGGCCAGCAGGTCGTACTGGACGATGCTGTAGGTGGCACTCTCGGGGTCCTGGATGGCGGTGCCCAGCGTGGAGCCCAGCGGGCACATGTGCAGCACGGGATGCTGGCAGGAGAAGCTCCGCAGCAGGGTCAGGCACTCGTCAATGTAGGGGAAGATGCGCCAGACTTTCACCGTGCGATCGCCACCTGCACCGGGCCAGGCAGAGGGGCACTGCCAGGCTGCTCCCACCGGGCCCCACGCCGGGCTGCAGCAGGCCCTGGCCCTGGCCCCCGCCAGCCCCCACCAGCATGGGCTGTGCCCTGGCTGGGGCGGTCGGCTCACAGGGACCTTGCTGCAAACTACCCAGACTTCTCCTTTCAGGTGCCACTGTCACAGAGCTTTTCGTTAGTTTGATGAAACACGCGAAACGGATGGAAATGGGGGACAATCCCTCAGCTCCTGCCCCCCCCCGGTCATGGGGGAAACATCTGCCTTCCTCCCGGGATGCGGGAGACACCTGGTCCCTCCAAGGTTGGGGAATGGTGGAGTGTCCTGACCTCTGGGGATGGGGGAACGCCCTGCCCACCCCCAGGATGGGGGACGGGGGAAGACCCTCCCAGGCCGCGCCCAAG